AAAAATCGACGCGTTTCAGAAAGGCGGGGCATAGAGGAGAAACAATAATGTACAGTATGTGGAAAATAATGTTTTTTTTTTAACCTTAAACCGCATAAACACATTTCATTACACCAAATAATGTTCTTTTTAGCAGCATCATATGACCCCTTTAAGTAAGAAAATGTCTGGAGATTTTTCCCCGTTCGTTGTGCAACTGAACAAACTTTTGCAAGCAAAACCGCCAACTGTGACTGTTTTTGGGCTTTTATTTAGAATTTTCTTCACTTGCATCAAAACGTTTGTTTTTTGGATTCTGAATGGTTGCACTGGCATTGTTTCTATGGTGTTAAGGTGTTCTAGGTGGTTGTGCGGGGATTGTTACTTGGTTTTTTGGGTGTTGTAAGTGATTGATAGGGTGTTGCTTTGTGGTTGCTAAGGTGGTAGTTGTTAGAATATTCTGAATGGTTGCAAGGTAAAAGCTAATTGGTTTCTTGGTTGTTTGAGGTGGTTGCTAGGATGTTGCTATGCAGTTGTTAAAGTGTTCAAAGTGGTTGCTAGTAGGGCTGCCCCCGACTAAAGATTGTTCTAGTCCATTAGTAGTCATTCATTTAAGCCATTAGTCGACTAATCGAATGTTTATATTAATTTAATTACTTGTGTATATACTGGTGGTGGAGAACTAAGCCATAATGAGCCTTTAATACATAGCCTACCGTATTAAAGCTTGCTGCAAAGCACCGGCAACAATATTAACTATGAATGTGTCCGAAAAAAAAAACAGCACGGAGATATTTTAATTATTTAAGAATAAACTAGTGCTTTCTGAGTCAGTGTCAGCTGCACAGATGAAGTTGACGATGCTGACTCGCCAACTCCACAGTACAATGACGTGCCTTCAGAGAGAAATGCACCTTTCATACGGATTACATAATCAGAGAGTATTTGTTTTGAATAGGTTCATTTTAAAGTAGACATTTCAAGCTTTCTATAGATATATTTCTCATGTCTGTGAGGCAGTAGCCTATACGCTGAGTTTCAATTCATTTTTGTGCCGCATTCCAGTTCACGGAGACCAAGACGGCAGAAAGCACATCCTATTTGTTTTCTTTATTTTACAAAAGCACAATGTTTTGTTGTTATTGTGAGTGAACACAAATGAAAGTAAACCTTTTACAGTTTCAAATGATGTATTACTCTTATCTGCATGAGCAAAAATGATGGTGTATTTTAAGTTGTTTCTGCTGTTATTAGGAAAAAAATCACAGTGATCGCACCGGCACCTCCATGTCATGCAGTAGCCCGCTAACAGCTCCCACACTCCACACATTTGGATATGCGCTGAATAGCACACATTTATCTAGCTTATCATTAGAGCGAGCAGCCATGTTAAGTTGCTGCTACATGCATGTTTCAATTTCAAATGATAAGACATATTTGAGGACGATGAATTGGATTTCCTGCCTGATCTACTGTAATTACCAGCTGTTAACGCGGACAGTTTTTTCTGAGACTAACTAACTAATACATTTTTGGTTGACTAAGCCTCTTCTCATCAACTAACATTTAGTTGACTATTAGGGAGGCAGCCCAAGTTGCTAGAGTATTTTGAATGGTTGCTTACTGGCCCAAGTCAAAAGAGCCCACCCAAAAGACTTGGGCCTGTAAGCAAAAACCCAGAACACCAAATTATTGTGGTGATGACTTTTGCATGGAAAGCACCACTCTTTTTTTTTTTAAATGTAAAAGTGTAGCTTGCTTTATCATGCTGGCCCTTTACACTAATTTAGCCCCTTTTCTCAGTTTTGCAGCCTGCTTTTTCCAAACACGTGGTTTAGAGTGGAATCCTCTGAAATCTCCCTGCGATGCTGAGAAGCTCAGTTTATTGTTTTTTGAGTGGGCACGAGGCTGTTGTTGTTGTTTCTGAGAACTTTCCATTGGAACCGGCTGATGAGTCAAAAGACAAAAAGAGTGTCATGCAGCGGCAGACAGAGCAGAGAGACAGCACTTCACACATACCTTGGTGAGCAAGGCACGGTCCTCTTTGATATGGCATTCTCGTACGGCGAGAGCAAACTGCTCCAAGGTCACTGCAGAACCACAATTAGAGAAATTAACAGCATAATAGTGAAATTAGAAGGGGGAGTTGCATTACACATTTTTTCCCCTTAAGTCCAAGTTATTTGCATCGAAAACAGTAAAATCTTGGGGGGGGGGGGGGTGGGGGGGGTTATGCCTATTTTTCACCTTTT